AAGACAAGTCTAGCAGTTAAGCTGGTCTGAATTGCCTCAGTGCCTGTGCCTCGTGTGCGGACGCTACCGCGCTTAAGCAATGCTATTCCGTGTTCAGCAGGTTAAACTTTCCCATGGACAAGGTTAACTTGGTTTCTGGCCCTCCTCCGACCTACCATCCTCTCGTCTATACCACGCACGGCTACCCTTCCGTCTGAGTCCCCATACACACAGGCACCCTGCTCTGAGAACAATTTCAGCAAACTCCCGCAAAGTACAAGTATCGAGAGAAAAATTGAGCCCAAGTTTGAAAAGTTAGGAAGTTAATGGAAAATAGGGAGAATTGTTCAAATATTCATGGCTGGATTTGATGTTGTTCTAGAAAAACATTCTTCGTGCTTAGTGGTGCCTTCCTGGAATTGTCGTCGTCCTACATGCTGGTGTCAATATTCTTGAATATTCTAGTCGATACCCTTCCCTCTAGTCCATCCGTTATTATAAGCTAAGGTGACTTTTCCAGGTACTTGGACTGCACAAACCTACACGCTGATCTTTTTGCTAACCCTTCACTTGATTAGTTGTTCTCGCACCTAAATGTCCTAGCCATTTGGACAGTTTTCGTCCACACTCTCAGCCATTTTCATTCAACCAGCCATCTAACTCATAGGTAACTTACAGTTCACAGCCAGTGTCATCATTCGTGAATGTATGAGACGGATTCCTTGTCGAATAGTACCAGCAGGGCCCAGTCCGCATTCTTCTTGCCAGTCGATCTGAATTTTTCCGATTCACAGTAAACAGATGAGAGAGGCTTTCAATGGCAGTTTTACTGTCCACCCACCAGAGCTGCTTCGAGCTTATTACGCATGGCGATTGACTCGCAAAGTGGGGCGACGGCCGTTTTGAACTGGTCATCGACGGTCTGAAAGTATGGAGCTGAGTAGAGATAACGACGAACGATTCTCGACGTCATCGTCAAGTTTCTCTGAATATTTCACTAAGTGGGATGCATGGCCCATCCCTCCGAAGGAACATGTCAACGCCAAGCAATTGTTTGGTAGAATATTTGGTAGGCGGGCTATTTTAAGTAGCATCTGGGAGGACAGTTTGAGCTCTAAACGTGTTACACCAAAAGATTATGAAACAAGCTCTAAGAATGTGAGTTTCACCAGTGATTGAGATCCTTCTCAGTCCTTATCGCTGAGCAATAAATCAGTACAAAGCGGAACGAGTGAGGATTATGAAGTAATGGCCTCAGAAAGTGAAAAATAATAGGGAATGCGCCAGATTCTCGCTTTCTATGCAGAATAGGCTAACTAAACCGCACGACTAGGTAGGCTGAGCATTTCAAAGAGCCCGGAGGACTGAAATTGGAACTCTCAGGCAAGTGGTCGTGGAGTTAATTTTTTGCGAGTTTACTCCTTTACCACTGCAGGTGCGCTTTTTAGCTTTAAACTGTGTTCGGGGAATCTTAGCAGATTTCAGCTCAGCGTTCCAAAACGCATGTAGTAGCATACATCTGGTTTCGAATGGGACATGAGAGCCTTTCCTTGTTTGGGTTTCACCCTTTTTCTTCGGAAGGAGTGATATTGCTCAACCCCATCCACCTTGGGCGAGTTGGGAGGGAGTGGGATGGGTGGGTCGTATTTTGGGAAGTTTGGGAGGGATTCATATTTGGCAAAATGATGGGGTTCCCGGAAGACTTTCGGAAGACATGAATTGAAGAATCAACATTTCCCACAAGATCCCCCAGGTTTGCTAAACACCTGGGGGGCCCAAGGCGGATTACAATTCGGGGTCGTATTTTCGAAATCGGCCACTCTCACGGTTGAATCCCGATGGCGGCCAAGGAATTAAATGGTGAAGGGTTAGCTAAGAGGGAAGGAATCTCCTACACAGTAGCTGAGGAATGGGTACTGTTGCTTTGGTCGTCTTGGATAAGCCGGTCACTCGACTCTCTGGAGAAGAGTCGAAATCGGTGGAACCGTTGGCTAACAACTCACCTTGATTCCGACGAGCTTCATGCCGGTGTTCACTCGACTAGACTTACGCTTGACTGACATGCCCCGTTTCTTGGCTTTCTGAAAAAATCGACGTTAATCCGATTAGTTCCGCCCCCGCGGGAGAGAACGGCGGCCACGCCCCCAGCTTTGCTTTGCTCATTGCTGTCGTGACTTCTGACTGATTCGGTAGGAAACGATAGTGGAACACAAGAATGCTGGGTTCCGAACAACACTTTCGCCCCAGGTGGGACCTCAATCCGCACCTCTGGGCTCGAGTCCCGCCTGAGGCGAAAATTTTGTTCATAAATCTTGTGAAACTTCTGCAGGGGGAGCTGCAGGCAAAAGCAGCGTATAACAACCAAAAACATCCTCAGAACGCTTCATTTTGAGAGAGTAGGAAATCGTGCTCTCTCTGATCATGAGTCATCCCGTTACGATCCACCATACAACCCATAGCTAAACTTCTACGACTCGCCTACGTCTCCAAGTCTTACTTACATCCTTTCATCCCACCTATGACTGATTTCACCCAAAAATCACATAGCTGTGAGTCTTTACTGACCATGAAAAACAAAAAAAATACAATGAATGCAAGTATAAATGCAAGTGACTCATCGAGTTTCTGACGAGTTTTCAAAATTCCACAAGAATTTTGAAAAAAAGTTTTATAAATCTCCCCAAAGTTACCGACACCTCATTTGAGTCCAATGTCACTTTTCAAAAGGGAAATGGCATGATTTCGTTCAGTACGACTTCACCCTTACTCAAAAGAGCCATCCAGAATCATCAACTTTGGCTTACCATACATACGACACAGCATAATTGCACCTTCGCAGTTTTCAACTTTTTTTTTCCAGCGGCCAAAGTTTCGACATGACAGCCTTTTTCTGAATCCGAATTGGTTTAGAGTTTTTTTTTTCCGAGGTTCCCCACCAACGCCCGTTCTATTGCGATGGTTTGAATAACGTGTTCGAAAATTGACAGAGAATTTTGCGAAACGCAGAAAAAGGTGGCGCTGGAAATTCCCATCCAAAGCTGTTCAAAATCGTTTGAGGCCGCTTGGATCATTATGAAGTATTAGGTACCGGATATCTTAGTGTCGTTTTTTCACCACGAGTTTCGGACCACCAATATTTTAATTCAGAATCCGGGGAGTGAAACAGCATATTCATCGAATGACTCATTAGCACTTTCCCATTTACCAGTATGAGTGGAAACCTCGTACGATTAAAGCTAGGAATTTTTTGAGTCGAAAAAGAGAGGTAGGTCGGTTTTGACATCATCTGACAAATCATCCCTCTCACTTGCTAAAAGTTAGGCCTGGACAAAAGAAGTATACAGTTAGTTAGAGTAGGGTCTGCACTGTATGGTGGAAAAGTTAAAACTTACCAGCTCAACTGGACAATTTTTCCCGGAGTCTTTTTTGCCACATAGGGTCAAAAACGCACCCTTTTTGAGCACACGTGAGTAGCAGATGAGCACATTTATTAGAATTTCTTGTGCAATCAAGCTTGTGCATCATCGATCAGTCACTGCTAAGGTGTCCTACCATTTCAGCACAAGACTGGTGCAGCCCCGTCTCGACTGATTTAACTAGGGCCACCTTTTTGACGACGATTGCGGGCATCACTTCAAAGACTTCACTGTCTTTTGAGAAAACTGTGAAAAACCGATGAGCATTTTAAATGGTAGTATTCCCTCCAACAAATGCAATGTTGGTTTGGTGGGCGGAAGTTGTAGCTCTCAGCAAGAATTTTGAAGCATTTGGTACACACATGCGAATTTGCACACTGGACCCAGGAATTTTCAAAAAAAGTATAAAAATTGGGGGAAAGTTAAATTGTGAACCAACAATAGAAAACAATAAGCAACATATTTCGCAGTATTAATGAGCAAAAAGGACTTTCTGAGATATTGATTTTCCATAGTAATCGGCCCCAAAACTTCCTGAACTCAGAAAAGCGACACTAAGATATCCGGTACCTAATAGTTTGCTAAGAAGGAGTCCATGTGGCCCAAACTTACCCCTCCTCCACGTTTGTTGGTGACCGCGATGTGCACGAAAAGCGTAGCGTTCGGGAGCGGGTCGCCTTCGTTATTCAAAAGCGGAACATGGCGAAATCCTGAAAATTGAAAGCATCTTGAGTTTCATGAATTCTTTACCTTTACAGAGCTTTTATCAAGCAGGCAATTAGGAATGGAGTACCTTCAACATACACATACAAGTTGAAAACATGGAGAAGTGGGAGGAGAAAGGCGGGACACGAATATCAGGAATGGGTCATTTAGTCGGTCCAGAACACGCCATGCACCCGATTGTCACTCATAGTCGCAAACACATCCAAATTTCTCACAATTGGATAGAGATTTCGGATGGTGAAAGTAATGAGATGTTAAAAGATCGGCGACAAGTCACATTTCCCGATTGAATACATATGTAGTGGTCATTGCGCTCGCAAATGAACCATTCGTGGTAAAGTCTACTATTAATGTAATATCAGAAACTAAAACAAGAAAAAAAACGGCTACCAGTAATGAGATAAAGAAAAAAACTGATGAAAAACCTCAAAACCGCTTGGCGCGCCAATCGTGTGGGCGGGGTTTGCGCCCATCCCAGCGGTATTCTTATTGGTTAGCCGTTTCTCTGACATTATAAAATACTCGCTCACAATATCAGCGCGCTATGGGATTAAAAGGATATTCTGCAGTTTTTTTTTCATTTATTTCGTTGATGGTGACCTGTCACTGCAAGTGCTAGTTTGATTTTGAGACGCAATGACCTACACCTGTTTACGTGGAATGTACCTTTAAATTTAGAGATCCTTTTTTAATGAAGAAGGCTGGTACCGCCTAGCTGATCCTGCGTCATCGGCCTCATTTTCGGAATGTTTTCAGTTTTCATATGATGTGTTCTGTTTACAATTTTTTTGGAGTATGATCAGTTTTTCGTGGTAATGAGACATTAAAGGGCAAATGGATCAGCATGTTGGTGTTGACCATTACAGGATATGTTGTGC